CTGACCCAGATGGGCAAATGCAGTGCTGTATGCCAGATCTCTGAAAGCTGCCTACTCCTTTTCTGCTCCACCGTTGCCAAATGTGTGCTGGCTCAGCTTTCCCTCCAAGGCAGCAATAAACTGTTTTCTCTCTGTTGACATTAATTCTTCTGCTAGCCTTGGGGACACCACTTTTGTTGAATGTGACTATTTAGCCTGGAGAGGATAAGTCTATGATCACTCTAGCATTCTACACCACATATTGCCTTCATCACTCTCACATCCTGTCTGTCTCTTCACCTTACAATGATATGGTCTATTAAATGACAATGTTTGCTGCGAGGGTGAATCCACAAAGTTTTATTACATTTAGGTAAATGGAAGACAGTGTTGATGATGAGAAGGTCATGAGATGCACAAGTCTTCAGTAGTAAGTGACCATTGCTGTTGCTGTTTCCAACTCCATTCCTCCCTAGGACTCCCTGCCATGTCTGGTAGTCTGAGCCTACTCTAGCATTAAATCTCCCAGAATTACAAGCTCGTCCTCTTTTGGCACATTGGTGATAAGGATCTCCAGGGTCTTTACAGGGGTCTTTATAAAATTTTTCTTTGACTTCATCAGGGTTTGTAGCAGTGGGAGCATAGGCACTGATGATGGTGGTGTGGCATTTTCCTGCAAGTGGTAATTGCATCGTCATGCGTCTGTCATTCACTCCTTTTGGTAGGCATACAAGCTTGTTGACTAGACTAGTTTTGATTGCAAAACCTACTCCAGCTTCACAGTGCTCCCTTCACTGTGGCCATTCCAGAAGAACACATATCCATCTCTGATTTTGGTGAGCTGGCCGTCATTTGCCAGCCTCGCGTCACTCAGGGCTGCTATTTGGATGAGATATCTCTTGCAACAAGAGCTGTTGGTCTTTTCAGGTCTTCCGGATTTTGTGTTGTCTATAAGTGTGCACATCCATGTAGTGATGGTGAGTAGAATCATCTTTGCAGAAGTTTTTGTACATTTTTTTTTGTGTGTTTCGACTGCAGGGTGGAATTACAGCCTACTACGGTAAGCAGGCCAGGGTTGGGTAAACAGAAAAATTTTAGGGCACCTTTCTTTTCTTTTCTTTTTATTTTTTATAAATTTATTTTTAGTTTTCAACCATCACTTCCATAAACTTTTAAGTTTTAAATTTTTCTCCCCCTTCCTCGCCACCTCCCTCCCCAAGACAGCATGCAATCTGATGTAGGTTCTACTTATGCATTCCTATTAAACATATTTTCACATTAGTCATGTTGTAAGGAAGAATTAGAATCAATAGGAGGAACCACAAGAAAGAGGAAACAAAACAAAACAGAAGAAAAAAAAGAGCAAGTAGTATGCTTCAATCTGCATTCAAACTCCATAGTTCTTTCTCTGGATGTGGATAGCATTTTCCATCATAAGGCCTTTGGAGATGTCTTAGATCGTTGCATTGCTGAGAAGGGCTAAGTCTATCAGAGTTAGTCATCACACAACGTGGCTGTTGCTGTGTACAGCGTTCTCCTGGTTCTGCTCACTTCACTCAGCATCAGTCCATACAAGTCTTTCCAGGTTTTTCTGAAGTCCGCCTGCTCATCATTTCTTTTTTTTTTTCTTTTTGGTGAGGCAATTGGGATTAAGTGACTTGCCCAGGGTCACATAGCTAGTAAGCGTTATGTGTCTGAGACCATATTTGAACTCAGGCCCTCCTAACTCCAAGATCAGAGCTCTATCCACTGTGCCACCTAGCTGCCCCCTCATCATCTCTTATAACACAATAGTATTCCATCACATTCATATACCACAACTTGCTCAGCCATTTCCCCAACTGATGGGCGTCCCCTCAATTTCCAATTCTTGGCCACCACAAAAAGAGCTGCTATAAATATTTTTGTACATGTGGGTCATTTTCCCATTTGTAGGATCTCTTTGGGATACAGCCCTAGAGTGGTATTGTTGGGTCAAAGGGTATGCACATTTTTATAGCCCTTTGGGCATAGCTCCAAATTGCCCTCCAGAATGGTGCCATCAGTTCACAATAGTGCATTAGTGTTAGGGCACCTTTTCTAGTCCCTTCTTCACACCAGGAGGTGAGCAATGCGATCCTTAAAAGGCTGCTCAGACATTCAGGGCGTTGCTGAATTCCACTGCTGCTTCCAGTCAGAAGACCACCAAGTGGCTTAGGGCACTGTGTACACGGTTGTGACTACAGTTGTGTATCTGCACCTGCTGCTTCGACGGAATCTCCCGACCTCTCAGACGCACGGTGTTGCTTCCAAAGTTAGACAACATTCGTTAGCAGGGGCTGCAATAGAGCTTCCCCATGTTATACTGAGCCTCTGCACTGGTCACTTCTGGGAAAAAGCTCAGTGCTGATGAACTGGAGGCTTTTGGGACGATGGAACAGTCCTATTACTGGATGCTGAGCAGGACTGACTTGGTGGTTCTTAAAAATAAAGAGTGATGTAGCTCTCCCATCCCTCCTCTTCCCATCTGGAAATTCTGCCAGGACTCTTCTAAACTCTCCTTTGGGGGAGGGGAGGGGTCAATCTTCTCTCCAAAGTGTCAGCAAGAGCAGAGGCTTGGCCAGGCTGGGGGAGCTTAGGCCATGGAGCACCTGGTTGCCTCTGCTGCTGCTGTGGGATTCCTTCCCAAAGCAAAAATGACTAAATGTTGATTCTGGGATGAATGTTGTCTAACTTTGGGGGCAACACTGTGAGTCTGAGAGGTTGGGAGATTCTGGGTCCTTTTGTCAAAGCTGCTTAGCAGAAGACACAAACCTGGAGAGAATTATTTAAATAGTAGACAGTTGAGATGAAATGTAAAATGCTTGCTCAGCAGTTCCACATCATGTCTTGATGATAACTGTCACCCCCTAGGAGAATATAAAAGTAGCTATATAAAAATAGTTGCTGTGTGCCATTTTAAGTCTTTGTTAATGTGTGTTTATGAGAGTCTTTTGTGTTTAACCTTTCTTCTGTGTGAAGGAAATAAAATCGCTGCTCTATACCTGATTTATAAAGTACTTTGACTACCTTTCCACTCCTCTTTTGTGAAGATCTCGCACATGAGACAAAACCTAAGCTTTAAGTCGTTTCCCTTGGAGCAGTGGAATGATGCATGGGGTGAAGAGTAGGAGACCAAAGAGCTTGACTCCCCTCCCCGACTTTTTTTTTTGGTGAGGCAATCAGGATTAAATGACTTGCCCAGGGTAACACAGCTAATGAGTATCATGTGTCTGAGGCTGGATTTGAACTCAGGTCCTCCTGACTCTAGGTCCAAAGCTCTATCCACTGTGCCACCTAGCTGCCCTTTGTGACCTCCTTTTCTTTAGGTGGTCAGGCTCCCCCAGGACAGTTAGGCAACACTGGAGTCAGGAGGACCTGAGTTCAAATTCAGCCTCAGACACTCACTAGCTGTGTGACCCTGGTTAAATCACTTAACTCTGCTTCAGTTCCTCATTTTGTAAAGCGAGCTGGAGAAGGAAATGGCAAATCACTTGAGTGTCTTTGCCAAGAAAACCCCAGATGGGGTTAAGACTGAAATGACTCAACGACAACAGGGTCCCCTAGGACTGAACTTCCTCACCACTCATGCTTGGGTCCGGAGCTGAGAGGGAACCCTTAATGGAGAGGGGGAGGATTTAGTACCTGAGCTCCCTCAGTCCGGCAACAGTTACTGTTAGATTGGAATCTTGACAGGCCGGGGTGTGTTATGGCCTCTATCTGGCTAGGGGATGGCTGGAGGGGGCTGCCCTGCCCTAAATTGGAATGTGAAGGGAGCCCTTCCATGTCCTTGTACTTTGGTATGCTTTGCACTAGGCCTTCTCTGGAGTTTGGGGGTGATGGTGGCAGGACCTTTGGGTCCAGACCTGTATCCTCTCCGGAGACAAATGAAAGGCATCTCAAAGCCAGGGAGGTTTGCTGCCAGTTACCTTTGCATGTAAAAGTCAGGAATTTAGGACAGAGGGTTTGAAGTAAGGAGTCTTGGAGGTGGGGGATGAGGGGATACGAGGTGCCTCAGAACCATGCAAACTTTTGTGGTTCATTGGAATGCAGACCCCCGAAATGGTTTCAGAGGAAATATAGATCGACAGTTAGGGACTGATTGGAGTTAAAGGAATTTTTCTTTTTTCTTTTTTTAAAATAATTCATTTTTAGTTTTTAACATTCAGTTCCACAAGATTTTGAGTTAAAAATTTTTGTCCCCTCCCTCTCCTCCTCCCTCCCCAAGACAGCGTGCAATCTGATATAGGCTCTACTTATACATTCCTATTAAACATATTTTCACATTAGTCATGATGTAAAGAACAATTAGAACTAATCAGAGGAACCATGAGAATGAAGCAATAAAACAAAACAACAAAGGAAAAGGAGAGCAAATAGTATGCTTCCATCTGCATTCAGACTCCACAGTTCTTTCTTTGGCTATGGATAGCACGTTCCATTGTGAGTCTTTTGGAGTTGTCTTAGATCCTTGCATTGCTGAGAAGGGCTAAGTCTATCAAAGTCAGTCATCACACAGTGTGGCTGTTACTGAGTACAGTGTTCTCCTGGTTCTGCTCATTTCACTCAGCCTCAGTTCATATAGGTCTTTCCAGGTTTTTCTGAGAGAATCTTGCTCATTCATCATTTCTTAGAGCACAATAGTATTCCATTACATTCATATACCACAACTTGTTCAGCCATTCCCCAAATGATGGGCATCCCCTCAATTTCCAGTTCTTTGCCACCACAGAAAGAGCTGCTATAAATATTTTTGTGCATATGGGTCCTTTTCCCATTTGTATGATCTTTTTGAGATACAGCCCTAGAAGTGCTATTGCTGGGTCAAAGGGTATGCACAATTTTATAGCTGTTTGGGCATAGTTTCGAATTGCTCTCCAGAATGGTTGGATCAGTTCACAACTCCACCAGCAATGCATTAGTGTTCCATTTTTCCCACATCTCCTGATATGAGACTCCCTTAAGCCTGAGTTTTAGATTCTCATGATTTCTGACCATTCTAGCCAATGTCCAAGAGGAGATTGATCAAGTCATTGGGCGACACAGACTCCCCAAGGTAGAGGACCGGATGCAGATGCCATACACTGATGCAGTCATCCATGAGATCCAGAGGGTTACAGACATTGTGCCCATGGGTGTCCCTCACACAGTCACACGAGACACCCACTTCCGAGGTTACATCCTGCCAAAGGTAAGGGGCTTTTCCTGGTGTGTGTCCCCCACTCAATCTTTTTCTCTGCTTTCCTGCTCCCTACCCCAACTCCAGCCCCTCTATCCTAGAGTTGGCTCTGCTCATTACACTTATACCCACCTTCCCTCCAGGGCACTGATATCTTCCCTCTCATTGGCTCTGCTCTTCGAGATCCTAAGTATTTCTCAAAACCTGAAATCTTCGAACCAAAGCATTTTCTCGATGAGCAGGGATGCTTCAAGAAGAATGAAGCCTTCGTGCCATTTGCTTCTGGTGGGTTCTTAGAAATCTCCCCTTTCTTTCCATTCTTCCTGCTCAGAGACATTGCAGGGTCTGGGATTAGAGCATGGGCTATAAGGCTGGGGCATAACCATAGACCTTAGAATCTTAGAAGAGAATCACAAGACCATAATCTTAGAGTTTAAGAGTCCAACAGCCTTATTCTACAGATGAGGAAACTGAGGCCCAGAGAGGGGAAGAGACTTGGCCAAGCTCATACAAGAAATAAGGACCATAGAGGCAATTTGAACTCAGGGCCATTGATACTTTCCACTGTCTCATTGAACAACAGAATTTTAGGATTGTAGGAAAATACAATATTAAGTGATTAGACTCTTAGAATCTTGGTGTCTTATATCTCTAAGATAGTTGGAATCAGGGATGTGCTGAGTATTAAGTATTGAGTTAAGTATTTAACAACTAGCTTTCTGAAAAAATAAATGCATCCATGACACACTTTAAAGTTTAATCTGAATCATTAACATTTTCTCCATCACTTTCTTAAGTCTACAACTTAAATCAACAAAACAATAAATCAAGCCCTGATTTGTGGTGTTTGCCAATTTCTAAGGTGTAAATGCTTAACAGGGAGAATTTGATCATAGGCTCCTTGGAGCCAGTAAGTACTGGCTATGGCACACTCCTGCTTTTGGACCTTCAGACAAGTACAATCTTAGAATCTTAGAGCTGCCTCCCCAATCCCTTTGAGATTAGCCTATACATGTAATTTGTTTGATGACTATGATTTGGATTATTTGTTTGTAAGTGTTTCAATGATCCATGTTCCATGTTTCTTTTTCTCCATTGCTGGTTCTGTGGATAATGGTGGCTCTACCTAGGGAAACGTGTATGTCTCGGGGAGGCCATGGCCAGGATGGAACTCTTCCTCTACTTCACAACCATACTGCAGAGCTTCTCCCTCCAATCTCTGGTTCCTGCCAGTGAGATTGACATCACCCCCAAGATCTCCGGCTTTGGCAACATCCCTCCCACCTATAAACTTTGCATTGTGGCCCATTGATGGGCTTCTTGGGGCAAGGTCCAGCAACTACCTGCTGCCTGCTCATCCTGCTCACCCACCATCCCTACCTTCTGTGGCCTCTCCCAATAAAATTTTTTTGATGCCCCATAACTGCTAGTGTCTTTTCCTCTAAGCCTATCTTCCATCTACTCCATATTTATTTTGTGTGTGCTGATTTATATATATTGTCACCCCAATAGAATGTAAGCTTCTTGAGGACAGGTCCTGTTTTTGCGTTTTCTTTGTTTCCCCAGACCTTACCACAGTGCATGGCCAACAGAAAGCACTCAACGTATGCCTGTTGATTGTTGGCATAGGAGGCTGGAGAGGCAAACAACTGCTTTTCTCTAGAGCCAAGATTCTCAACCTGGGATCCACCAATAGATTACAGAGAGTCCATGAACTGGGAATGTTTAAAGCTGTATTTCAATATAATTAATTTCCTTTGTAATTCTCTATATTATATTTTATGCATTTAAGAATATGATTCTGAAGAAGGGGCATAGGCTACACAAGACTGACTGTCCAAGGGTTCATAACACAAGATAGGTAAAGAACACTTGTTCTAGAGAATCAAGCAGGAAAGAGGAAAGTATTTTCATTTTCTTGATTTCTTTTGAAGACTGGCACCATATTCCCCTCCCTTCAGTCTTTCAGCACTAGTCTAGACATTTGAGATCTTTCAAAGATTTAGGTAGAAGTTCATCAATCACATCCATCTGTCCTTTCACTATCCAAGGGTGCATGTATGTGACTCATCTGGGCCTAGTGACCTGAACTTATTCAGGGCAGCCAAGCAATCTTGTACCATCTCTTTATTTACTCACAGCTTTTCTGTTAGTCATTTTTATTCTATCCTCCCTGGCCCAATGGCCGTTCTTTTTCGCAAATAAAACAAAGCAAGCCAGAACTATATAACTCCACCTTCACTCTTGCATCCATTGTAATAATTTTAACAACACCTATCAGCAGACCAATCCCTCCCTTGGTCCTTCCCCTTTTCCTCAATATATCTATTTTTTGTGTGAAAATTTTCGTTATTTTTTCCAACTCCGTGTATAACCATTTTTAACTTTTTTTTTTAAATTTGGTGTTCCAAATTCTCTTTCTCTCTCTTTCTTTTCTACCTTCCTTGAGAAGGCAAACAATTAGATAAATATTATACATGTGCAATCATGAAAACCATGTGCAATCATGAAAACACTTCTGTATTAGCCAGATTGTGAAAGAAAATGCAGACTGAAAAACAAAACCAAGGAAAATAGAGAAAATTTTAAAAAAAGTATGCTTTGATCTACAGTCAGACTCCATCAGTTCTTTCTCTGGATGTGTGTAGCATTTTTTCATCATAAGTGCTTTAGAATTGTCTTGGATCATTGTATTGCTGAGAATAGCTAAGTCATTTATGATCCATCATTGTACAATGTTGCTGTTGCTGTACACAATTATCTCCTGGCTCTGTTCATTTCACTTTACATCAGTTCATGTACATCTTTCTAGGTTTTTCTGAAAGCATACTGCTCATCATTTCTTTAAAAAAATTTTTTTTGCTCATCATTTCTTATAGCACAATAGTATTCCATAACAGTCATATTTAGTATTCAGTCATTCCTCAGTCGATGAGCATCCCCTCAATTTCCAGTTCTTTGCCATCACAAAAAGAGCTGCTATAAATATTTTTATACATATAAACCCTTTTCTCTTTTGGGGGAAACTCTTTAGGATGCAGATCTAGTAGTGGTATTTCTGAGTCAGAGAGTATTCGCGGTGTTATAGCCCTTTGCACATTGTTCCAAATTGCTCTCTAGGATTGTTGGATCAGTTCTACACAATTCTACCGACAGTGTCCCTATTTTTCCACATCCCATTCAACATTTGCTATTTTCTTTCTTTTGTCATATTAGCCAATCTGATTGGTGTGAGGCAATATCTCAGAGTTGTTTTAATTTGCATTTGTCTAGTCAATAGTGATTTAGAGCATTTTGTCATATGACTATAGATAGCTTTGATTTCTTCATCTGAAAACTATCTTATATCCTTTGACCATTTATTGATTGGGAAATGATTCTTGTTCTTATAAATTTGACTCAGTTCTCTAAGTTCTCATTGAGAAATAAGGCCTTTCTTAGAGAAACTTGCTGTAAAATCTCCTCTCCCCCCACACTCCACTCTGGTTCTCTGCTTTTCTTATAATCTTGGCTGCAATGGTTTTGTCTGCACAAAACCTTTTAAATTTAATGTAATCAAAAATTTCCATTTTGCATCCCATAATGCTCTCTATTTCTTGTTTGGTCATAAATTATTCCCCTATCTATAGATCTAACAGGTAAAATATTTCATACTACACTAATTTGCTTATGGTATCACCTTTTGTGTTTCAATCGTGTGTCTATCTTGATCTTATCTTGCTGTATTGTGTGAGATATTGATCTAATTTGTACCAAACTACTTTCAAGTTTTCCCAGCAATTTTTGTCAAATAATGAGTTTTTGTCCACAAAGTTTGGATCTTTAGGTTTATCTGTAAGATTCAATATCCCCATGCACTGGGATATTCACACTGTCTCCAAACACCATATTTATATCATAAAAAGAACTTGGTAGGACTCCTTCACCTATTTTTCCAAATAGGTTATGTAGTATTGGAATTAATTGTTCTTTAAATGTTTGGTAGAATTCACTTGTAAATCCATCTGGCCCTGAAGAGTTTTTCATAGGGAGTTCATTGATGGCTTGTTCAATTTCTTTTTCTGAAATGTGATTATTTAAGTATTTTATTTCCTCTTCTGTTAATCTAGGCAATACATATTTTTATAAATATTCATCCATTTCACTCAGATTGTCAGATTTATTGGCATATAGTTGGGCAAAATAGTTCCTAATCATTGTTTTAATTTCCTCTTCATTGGTGGTGAATTCACCCTTTGCATTTTTGATACTAGTAGTTTGGTTTTCTTCTTTCCTTTTTGAAATAGAATTAACTAAAGGTTTATCTATTTTATTGTTTTTTTTCCAATAAAACCAGTTCTTAGTTTTATTTATTAGTTCAATAGTTTTCTTAATTTCAATTTTATTAACCTCTCCTTTGACTTTCAGAATTTCTAATTTGGTAATTAATTGGGGATTTTTAATTTGTTCTTTTTCTAGCTTTTTTAGGTGCATGACCAATTTTTTTCTTCTTTTTCCATTTTATTCATGTAAACATTTAGAGATATAAAACTTCCCCCAAGAATTGCTTTCACTGCATCACATAAGTTTTGGTATGTTGTTTCATTATTGTCATCCTCTTAGATGAAGTTATTGATCTTTTCTATGATTTATTGTTTGACCCATTCATTCTTTAGGATTCAATTATTTAGTTTCCAATTAATTTTTAGTCTATCTTTCCATGGTCCTTTATTACATGTAATTTTCATGAATCATGATCTGAAAAGGATGCATTTAATATTTCTGTCTTTCTGCATTGGATTGTGAGGTTTTTGTGTCCTAGTACATGGTCAATTTTTGTGTAGGTGCCATGCACTACTGAAAAAAAAGGTATATTCCTTTCTATCCCCATTCAATTTTCTCCAGAGGTCTACTGTATCTAAGTTTTCTAAAATTCTATTCACCTCCTTAACTTCTTTCTTGTTTATTTTGCCATTAGATATATCTAATTCTGAGAGGGGAAAGTTGAGGTCCACCACTAGTATAGTTTTATTGTCTATTTCCCCCTGTAACATACTTAACTTCTCCTCTAAGAATTTGGTTGCTATACCACTGCGTGCATATATGTTTAGTATTAATATTACTTCATTGTTTATGGTATCTTTTAGCAGGCTGTAGTTACCTTTCTTATCTCTTTTAATTAGATCTATTTTTGCTTTTGCTTTGTCTGAGATCAGGATTGCTACCCTTGCTTTTTTTTTTTTTTACTTCAGCTGAAGCACAATATATTCTGCTCCAGCCTTTTATGTTTACTCTGTGTGTATCTCTCTGCTTCAAATATCTTTCTTGTAAACAACATATTGTAGGATTACCATTTTTAATCCTCTCTAATATCCACTTCCATTTTATGGGGCAGTTCATTCCATTCACATTCACAGTTATGATTACTATCCGTGTCTTTCTCTCCATCCTATTACCGTCTCCCATTTATGCTTTTCTCTCTTTTTTCACCCTTTCCCTCCTCACCAGTATTTTGCTTCTGACCACCATCTACCTCAATCTGCCCTCCCTTCTATCAGCCCCCTCCCTTTTCCTTCCCCTTTCCCCTATTACTTATTCCCTTCCTTCTGCCCTCACTTCTATCTGCCCCCCTGCCTTTTCCTCACTCATTTCCCTGCCTACTTCCTATAGGGTGAGATAGATTTCTATACCAAACTGAGTGTGTGTTATTCCCTCTTTGAGCCCAATCCAATGAGAGTAAGGTTCAAACAATGCTTACCTCCCTCCCTTCTTTCCCTCTATTGTAATTGGTTTTTCTGCCTCTTCATGTGATGTAATTTACCCTTTTCTACCTCCTCCTTTCCTCTTCTCCCAGGACAATCATTTATTTCACCCCTTAATTAACTTTTTTATCATCACATCAAAGTCAACTTATACCCACGCTCTCTGTCTATGTCCTTCTAAATATCATAATAAAGATACAATTCTCAAGAGTTACAAGTATCATTTTCCCATATAGGGATGTAAATAGTTTAACATTATTGAATAGCATGTTTTTTCCCCTGTTTATTTTTTTTATGCTTCTCTTGAGTCTTGTATTTGAAGATCAGTTTTTCTGTTCAGCTCTGGTTTTTTTCATCAGGAAAGTTTAGAAGTCCCCTATTTCACTGAATGTTCATCTCCTTCCCTGAAAGATTATGCTCAATATTGCTGGGTAGTTGATTCTTGGCTGTAATCCAAGCTCCTTTGCCTCCTGGAAAATCATATTCTAAGCCCTCTGATACTTTCATGTAGAAGCTGCTAGGTCCTATGCAATCCTGACTGTGATTCCATGATATTAAAATTGTTTCTTTCTGGCTGTTTGCATTATTTTCTCCTTGACCTGGTAATTCTGGAATTTGGCTGCAATATGCCTTGGAGTTTTCATTTTGGGATCTCTTTCAGTAGGCTTGGGATCTCCCACTGGTTTGCTGAGGTAGG